AAAAGCCAGCTTTGTAAATTTCATCTTTAACCTCCTCTGCAAAGTCATGCACAGTGGGCCCCACAGGGACCACCATGGCTTGACGTGGAGACAGCCAAAATGGCCTGCAATAACACAAAAGTAAATAGAGTAAACATGTAGAAAACAAAATACATCATATTACAAAGAGAAAGTACTCTGGTTATGATTTGATATATTTTATTTGAAAAATTTTGAAAAATGTCATGAAGAATCCTGTCAGTCAAGATGTCTTGATTTACAGAATTTAATAACTACCAGCCTGATTGTCTAAAAAGCAGTCAATAATATTATTTTTTTTACCAAAAATGACAAAAATATTTGCTACAAATTAAGAATTGGAGTTACCATCTTAAAAATTAACAAATCTGACAGAAGTTATACCAAGTATTAAAACAATTGGACTGGTAATTTTCAAGAAGTCATTGAAAATAGCATTTTTTACTAAAAATGACAAAAATATTCAATTAATTGAGAATTGAAATTATCATCACCAAAAGAAAAAATCTGATATCAGGTGCCAAAGCAAGTCAACAAATATGACAAAAATACAAATGACAGGCAATCTGTCATACAAGATCTGCATAAAGTGGCACTAAAGATGTACAAATGTTTTTATTTTTAAATATATACCGGATTCTGCCGTAAATTCGCCCATCCGAAAAATCGCCCTGGGCGGTTTCACGGCTGGTGGGCCCTTATTTGCGGTTCAAATTTTCAAAAAAATTATCATCAAATATTTTTAGGGGGCTTATATTTTCATTGAAAAATCCACCTACGCCGACTTTCAACACCGGCAGTTGGACCACCCAAAACGAAAGAAACTAAAATTGTATACATTTTTTTCTAGCTGGATTAATAAGTATTTATTAGTAACGAAAGTATATTCTAAAAGAAGTTTCAAAAAACAACGAACACAACTGCATTGCTTAGTAGCGAATGATCGTGGTAGCGCAATCCGGTCATGCTGCGTTTTACAATTGTTGATTATTACCTAGTAATGATTATAATAACGTGCAAAAAATAAATCCGTTGAATTGTTATGAAATGCAAATAAATTTCAACTTATTTCATCGTAAGCGAATGATTCCGATCGCATTTTCAACGCTCGATGCTGTAGAAATGAATATCCGCCATGTTTGACCTGACCTGACAGGTCAAATCGATAATTAACCAATGAAAACGATGGATGATGCCAACGTGTTCAAATTACCATTAAACATTTAAATATGTTAATGTTATTGAACCCAGCATGGAAGAGATTTGCCGATGTTGTTGTACGATCTTTTGGCTTGGATTTTGGCAAAGCGGCATGATTTGTTTTTAAATAAAAAAAATAGTTGTTTTCAAAAGATAAACTGAGCATTTGAAGAATAATTTAACATTATTTACAGCGATAACTCATTGTCGAAACGAAGCTAACCCATTCACGCAAGTCGCATCAATACTCTTGAATAGACGTCAATGACTACGGCGAAACTTTTAGGCATCAGAAAAGATTAAAATAACGCCTTAAAAAACTGCCGAAAAATCGCCCTGGGCGGTTTCTTGGTCCCAATTTTTTTTTTTTAAACCGGAACTGCCGTTTAACGGCCCTGGGCGAATTTACGGCAGAATCCGGTATTATTCCATGATTGAAACATCTTCCTATCCAGGATACAGTATTTACATTCTATAAATCTGGTAATTCGATCAAAATGACTTTCTGTATATTTGTTTAGTATACCTTGTGCCTTTCAATAATTGAACTGAGAATTCAGTCACTCACCATTTACCGCCATAACTTTCAGTCAATATAGCTATCATCCTTTCCACTGAACCAAGAATTGCACGATGAA